ATGTATGTATGTTACAATTCATGGAGTGTGAATAGTGTAGGAAACATGCAACATAATGGGTAAAAAGATGTTGGGCATGTTTAGCGAAAGTAGCGGGTAGCTGGAAACAGGTAGTGGGTAGCTGGTAGCGGTTAGCTGGTAGCTGGTAGTTGGTAGCCGATAGCGGGTAGAGTGTAGCGGATAGCTGGTAGCAGGAAGATGTAACTTTTATTTGTTGTATGAGTGTTTGACAAAGATAATTGGAAACTTTTGAAATACATAAAATTATATAAAAGGACAATTAATTAAAAATAAATAAATATATAAATATATTTTTAAGAGTAATTATGAAAATTGATTTCAAAAGCTCAGTAACTTTTTGTTAAACGATAAATGAAATAGTTTTAAATTTTGAGCGTTTTGTTTATATTAAAAGTTAAACGTTCGTACCGCCAAACAAAGTTTTTTATTTAAACTAGAACCGCCAAACAAAGTTTTTTATTTAAACTAGAGTGTTTTGTTAAAAACTAAAAGCTAGAAATTCACAAACATTTCCAAAAAAACTACATACCAAACATGTCGGTTATATTAAGGATGTTATTAAAAAAAAAAAAAAAACCTATGTATGTTAAGGTCAACACACATTACACCCACACACTTAGGGGTTACTTTAAGATGCCCTATATTAATCCATTAAGAGTTGCACATATATTAATCCAAATGTTTTAATAAACAATTATGAATATCCTAAATACTTCCCTATAAATCATGCCTATGTTGTTGTTATGTTGCTCACCTTTCAAACATTAAAACTCTTACTTGCTCCTTTCCGCTCTCAAGACTATGAGAAAATATCGCCATCTCCTCAACCTCGGGAGAGCGAAAGATCTTTTCATCTCAAACAGGGCATGGGCACAACAAGCTAGTCCCCTTAAATCACACCAGCTAAGCCGCTGTACACAACAACCACCACCTCTTCCACCCTCTTCCTGTTCTCGTATATCAATAAACAAATGCAATGAAGGTAATATGGTTTCTCGCCATTATCTCCATGCAAGTCTAGGCAATTTTACTCGTCTTCATTCCCATTCTCACTACTCCACTCTTGAGGCTTCACAACTTGATTACGAGGAGGAACAGTCATCAGTTGATTACCATGTGATTGTGAAGGATCGAGATGTCGTTTCAGCATCTATCACCCCAGCGTACAAGCACTGGCTCCCCCTATCCAACCTGGACCTCCTTCTACCACCCGTTGCAGCTGGAGTTTTCTTTTGCTACAAGAAAAAGGATGGCGTACCCATGTCACCAGCAACTGTGGTAAACACCTTTAGGACATCATTGGCTGAGGCTCTATCGACATTCTATCCTCTCGCGGGTGAGATTGTGCAAAACAACCAAGGGGAACCGGAGCTACTGTGCAACAACAGTGGAGTGGAATTTGTGCATGCCCACGCTGACATTGAATTGAAAGACCTAGATTTTCATCGTCCTGATGACTCCATCAAGGGGAAGCTAGTACCTAAGATAAATCGTGGCGTGTTGTCAGTTCAGGTAAACTACAACACTTAAACTATTATTATTTAGTCAATTGCCACCCTTGGATTTGGAAAGCATATGTGCAAGTAGTAGCCGTGACTTTTGGTTGAATATTTTTTGAAAGATTCTCACGTATTTCCCACCAATGACTTGACTTTAACGAGAACAAAATAATACAACTACATGTAAAATATGCATGTAAATAAGCAAATGTTTCGGCACATAAGCATAAACAAAAGAAATTTATTTATGTAAACACTTTTACAACTATGATTGCATTTATTAAGAGCTAGTTAAAATATGCTGGATTTTCAGCTAATACGTTTAAAAAAATATATTCATTTTTTTAAAAGTTAGATAAAAAAATTTATGTTGGATTTTTTTTATTAAGTTTTACCCAATTATAAACTATTAATCTTTTTGTGTCGTATTTAGTTATTAATCTAATGGCTTAAATGATAATAGAAGTAGCTAGAGAAAATGATAATAATAGGTATGTCATTGTTTTTATAATTTATCTATGATCATGGATTAACAAATATCGATAAGAAGATTCATATGCAAAACCATAAGAGATGCTTTAAGACAAAAATTGAGAAGATTTAAAAAATAGTTAAAAATACATTAATAAAAATTAAAAACCTATACTATGATATTTATTTAAAAAATATGAATGTTTCGATTTTATTATTTAAAAATTCAATAGTCAATTCAATATCCATTAAATATTATAGTTAAATTTAATAAAATGAAAACAAATCATTGAAAATGCTATGGTAGATTGACCACTTCTTTTTAATCCTTAAAATAAAATTTAAATAACAACTACTCTCCTAATATATATTTTGCAATCTGAAACTGCCTTTAAATGGTTCATACAAGGAAACATTGATTATATTTCTGTGAAATTACACTATTATATCACAAAATATGATACATTTAACAATATATTGTGCATATTAAAAAACATTTTTTTTTTGTGAAATAATTAGGAAACAATATCGCAATTCTAAAAATTACTTTGGTAGTGGACCATACTTTTGTTTATTTGGAACGGCAATTTACCCATATTATAATTTGATATGGAACAGAAAAAATTGAACTAACTGTAGAATTTTGACTTTGTGACCAAATTCATGTCGTCGTGTCACGAGAATAGATTATGCAACCACAAAACAAAAAATTGCAGATGATCAATACAGAATTGTATCATAGTTTGATGTAAAATATATAATCAATATATTATATATATGAACATGAAAATCACTTTACTCCAATTTAAATGAAACAGGTAACGGAGTTAAACTGTGGATCAATAATAATATCATGCTCTATTGATCACCGAGTAGCAGATGGTCAGTCATTAAACATGTTCTTAGTTTCATGGGCGGAGATTGCACGAATGAAACAAATCACCAACATTCCATCATTTCGCACATCGATCTTGAATCCACGTAAACCACCAGCATATGACACAATCGTTGATAATTTGTACCTGCCTATATCATTCCTCCCTCCGCCACCTTCTTTCCAGGACACGCTTTATAGTCGCATGTATTATATTACTGCTGAATCAATCAATCGCATTCAGTCTCAAGCATCTTCAATGGAAACAAGAAGAAGCAAACTCCAATCATTCACTGCATTCTTATGGAAATTATTAGCACATGGAGGTGATGATAATGTGAATACAAATTCCCGAATGGGCATTGTCGTTAATGGACGACAATTTTTAACAGAAAATACTGAAAAGTCATCATCTCACATGGAAAATCACTTCGGAAATGTACTATCTATCCCATATGGTACAGCAACGAATGAGGATCTCAAGACAATGCCACTTAATGAAGTTGCAGATGAGGTCCATAAGTTTGTCATCAAAGCAACTAAAGAAGAGCATTTCAGGGGATTAATCGATTGGGTAGAGTTACATCGACCAGAGCCAGCTGTTGCTAAGATATATTTCGGACTAAAAGAGATCGAAGGTGAGGCTACAGTTGTATCATCTGGGCAAGGTTTACCAATTAACGATATGGACTTTGGATGGGGAAAGCCAGAGTTTGGATCCTATCATTTTCCTTGGGGTAGTCAAAGCGGATACCTAACTCCAATGCCGAGTGCAAGAAACAATGGAGATTGGGTCGTATACATGCATCTCAAGCAAAAAGATCTGGATTTGATTGAGAGTATGGCACCCGGTGTGTTTACACCCTTAAACAATTCACATTTGAGTTTCTAATTTGTGTTTCTCCGAACAAATATATGGTTTACAAATTCATATATACTGGAGTTATTATTTTACATGTCGATTTCTTTTGTAATTTATATCTTTGTAAATGTATGTTCTTAAAGTGTGGGGTAAGCTAGATTGGTTATTTCTTTGACTTTTTCTTCACTCGATGTTCAATGTCACAATATGTCTTTAAATCATTTAACGACAGATTTAGCTATGAGTTATGTCTTATCAACTTTTGCAATGAACTAACAATATTAGCGATAGTTTTAAGATCGCTATTTAGACAAATACTTGGAAATAGAGGTGTTTGTGACCAAGTTTTTAACACAAAAGCAACAAATACCCTGTCGCCTAATGTGACCAAAAGATCTGTTTTCTTTGCTAAGTTGTCTTTCTATGATCATTTAACCATGGGAGCTGATTTTGCCAAGGAAGCTTTTTATCCATCAACAGAAAAATTAATATATTGACAAATGACACGACACTTCTTCATTTTCCCTTCTTCCTTTTTCACTTTTTCAGATTTACACGACACTCCTTGTTTTTTCGTTTATCCTTTTTCACATTTTCAGATTTTTCCATTAAATAGATTATCATGATCACAAAAAATCAGGCTTGGTTTCCCTCAAAATGGTGAAACAAAATCATCTCCAAATATTTTATTTTTCGAACCGGCAAATCTAATGTACGTACTTTAAGCTAACACCTAATTCCACATATGTCCCGATTGGACATTAACCCTCAACCTCAAAGAGGGAGGGCACCACCTGATACTACTCGGCTAGAAGTCCTTTGGTAGAAATCGACTCCAATCACTTGTATATACCACCATCTCCTTTCAATCGATTAAACCATGGCTTGAATCGATTAACGTGCATCGAAGGTGTGAAATCATGTCTATTTTAATAAGAGCTCAATATAAGGTTGGTTTTTGTGGTGTGTGATATCAATCGTATGCTTTTTTGGGTTTGCGATTTCTTCGTTTGTTTTTCCCTCATGAGCTTTCGTCCACCATGTATTCGTGTATATTTTGTGTCTAGTGCATGGTTATATTTCTCCTGTCTTTTGTTCTATTGAATTTAAAAAATGGATACAAAAAAACAATTATTGTTTTCCTGTTCATTCTTTTGGATGAATCGCTCAGATCCTTGAGAAGCATTATAGTCAGATTGGGGCGTATTGATGATTTGGTGGAGTTTTAGTGGTTCAAATGGGTTCCTTCAAAAAGTAATTATTTCATGTGGAGACCTTTTATGTACATGATACCGAGTTGCTCAATATAAATCAAAAGGGGGATGGTTTTGCACTAGGATATGTGTGTTTTGTGTAATCAAGTGACAGAAACCGCTGATCACTTGTTCTTCAACTATCTTTCTCGTCATAGATCTATTATTAGTTTTGTTTTTTGTGCACGCTAGTGTTGAAGCCTCCCTCATCCATGACAGATTTGTTGGTTTCGTTCTGCACATATCTCCTAATAGAGGCTGAAAAGTTGAATTATTAGATATTTAGATTCTTTATTAGATTTTGTGTTATGCAGTTTCTAGTAATAGGGTATATATGGAAGTCATATAATTTCAACCTTTTAATCGAAGTTATCGACATAAGGATTGGCTTTTTATTTAAATAGAAAGCTCGAGAAATCTCGCTTCACTCTTCCCTTCTCTTTTTGAGATGGATAGGAAAAAAATATTGTTTTGTTTCGGAGAGAATAGGTGCTAATTCGATAAATTGTGCTTGGAAACGGGTTCCTAGTAGTCAAATGGAGGTCAAAGAGCTAACTGATATCATAGCTTGCTTGGATTCAGCTGTTATTTCCGATGGTAGGGATTCTTGGAGCTCTTCTTTATCTTGGGATGGAAACTTGTATGTTCTTGATCTTAGAAATCTGATTGACACCAAATTGACTGATTCGGTGGACAATCCCACCATTTGGTTCAGTTAAGTCCCTCTAAAGGTCATTTTTTTTTTCATTTGGCGAGCTTGTATGGATCGTGTTCCATCCGTGATTGCCCTTTCTCGTCGTGGAATCAACATTTCCATCGCTTCTTGTCATAATTGCACTTTGGGTTTGGATGATACTGGGCACCATTTGCTGAGGACACTTTGCAAAAAATTCTTAACTGGTGCTAGGTTTCGTTTCAACATTGCTCTTCGATCGGTTGTAGAGATGATCAACTTTGTGGCCCATTGGGGAAATTGCCCTAAGAAAAGAAAGCTTCTTTTAGCCATCTTTTATGGCTATCTTTGGTGTGTTTGGCGTGCCCGGAATGACAAAGTCTTCAACAAAAAGTGTTTTTCTTCCTCGAAACTGACAGGTAATATCATTACTATGGTGTTTAGTTGGATGAAACACAGTGAAAATTACCGGAACTGTAATTGGGTTATTTGGTGTAGTTCTCCTTTTAGTATTTTGTAATTGTTTTGTACTTTTCTTTTTGCCCTGCCTTTTCCTTTTTGGCCGTGGTTTTTCAATATATCTTCGGCGTTTCCTAAAAAAAACCAAGGATACAAATGTCAATTCTATTATTTTTTCAATGGAATGATCAAAAGTTTCGGTGCTTCCTATCATCAATTCGTCAATGATTATTTGACACAAATTCGTTGGATTCCTTCTATTTCTTTTCCATTGTACGAACAATTTACTAAGCTAATTAAAATTACTCTCCTTTACAACTTAACAAGATTTCATTAATTTCAGTTATTGTCAATTTATCTTATTCGAATGGTAATCCTACATTGTATTGGTACGCATGTCTAAGAACAATTTTAGTTTTCATTACCGTGGAACATATAATATTTTAATACATAGGACATTATTCTAATACAAAATAAATTGTCCTAAATATAACAAAGTACGAAGTTTTAATACAAAATACAATTTCATAATAAAAAGAGTTATCGGGTGTTGCTATTCACATCCGAATTTTGGGTCAAAACCATATTTTGAAAAAGTGAAAACCACGTTTACTTCTTAAACCCGAATTCACATGACTTTTATAATTATTATTGTCTGCCTACACTTGAAACTTTATTTTGCATAATATTTTTTTTTTCCTTTTTTTTTTTCTTTTTCAGTCGAATCAATGTTATATATAATCCTGTATTTTAAACTTTCTTTATATTTTTTATTTTATAATCTATTATCAGAGATTAAATAATTTTAACATTTTTAGCCCTTATAGTTGAAACATATTTTCAGTTTATACCCTTTTCTATTTTAAAAAAATTACTTTCAGTCATTATTACTTCAATTTAGTATATATTGATATTTCAATTTTTTCACGCACCCATATACACACGAATGGTCCATGTGGTTTGGGGTAATTTACGAGTTTGGTCCTTAACTTTTTTTATTAACTCGGACGGTCCCTATTACATCTTTTTGTTGTGCGGTTAGTCCGAGCTTAAAAGACCGTTATGTCCTTATTAACTATTTTAATTAATTTTTTATTTACAAATTATTTATAAAATTAAAACAAAATAACACTCCCCACCCATTCCATTTATCTTCCTGTGCAATTGACCCCACCCTTTTATTTAATGTTTTTTCTTATTTTTTGAATATAAACAAACAAAATATGATATTTTTTGTATTAGGCAAAACTAATAACTATATTTATATTTATGGTCCTTTAACTTACCCTACATTTACAATAAATAACCTATTTTTATTTCAATGCAGTGTAAATGAATACCATTCCGATCAAATCAAAATAGTATAACTATATTTACATTTATGGTCCTTTAACTTACCCTGCATTTACAATCAAAATAATATAACTATATTTACATTTATGGTCCTTCAACATTTTATTCAAATTCACTTATGAGTGAAATTCCAAATTAATTTCATCCATACGTTACAAACATTGAATATGTGGAGGGAGATTGAAATTGTGGATTTCGGGCAATAGCTGTCTCCCTCGGGTATAGTCAAAATTATTGGCGTCAAATCTGCTCTGGATTATACAACGAGTTATCAAAAAATTGGGGACGATATGCAATGATTTTTTAGGATGATATAAAGAACGTACATCACTCGTTGAGTTTCACTACTTTGGGTTCTGCACAAAGTGAATATTGGTTGATTATGTCAGATACTGGATTCCTCAGTGCTAATAAGTATGGTGTAATCATCTATTGTTTAGAAAAACAAGGTTTGCCGACCTGTTTTCCGCTTTGGCATGGCCCACAAGATATCTCACGTCATAGATCTATTGTTATCACCTTCGTTTATAATGGCCATTACGTAAAAGTTGATTTACAAGAATCACATCCAATGTCAACAGTTTTGTCACTTTGGTGTCACCATATATCAGAACGTTCTGTTGGATGAGAAATATTGTATAATGCTCAACTTGATGCATATATTCCACCGAATGCACCACGTAATAATTGTAATATTCATGTAGTTGATGTCCCTCATAATTAATAAAATTAAAATATGTCAGTGTTTGACAAAACGGTGGTAAATGAAAATGATAATTTTATTCATTATAGTTGTGAAAAAATATCATATTATGTTTTTTATTGTTCGTTTAATTGTTCCTGATTGTCATTTATCGTTTAAGGTTAAATGAACTAATATGAAAAAATCTATATTCATGTTCATTAAATTCGTTGCCTGGTTGATATCGCTAATATTAAAACTTAAAGAAAAATTTAAAGTTAGAAATATTATATGAAAATCCCTATAATAAAATTGAGATATTATACAAAATAAAATTGATTATGTAATGATAAAAAAATAAATTGGATTAAGTAAGTATAAAAAATAAAATTAATATATTATATGACAATTTCAATATTCAGTAGGTGAAAGTGCAAATTAAAAGTTAAATATATGTTAAAGGGTCATAAATAAAAGTTTTAATAAATTCATAAAGGAAAGGTAAGTTAAGATATTTTATTTATTTATTTTATTACTTTATTAACTAACAGCAATCAAGACATCAATATAATCGAGACTATCCATCTTTATTATGTAAATTAAATCATCTTCTATCCCATCAAATCTTCCCTAATAAATCAAAATAATTTTGACACATGTTACTCTCTCATTAAATTGGACACATGTCATTTTTTAGTATTTTTGAATAAATGTTTTTTTCTATTTGTCATTTTGTCATTTTTTTTTATCTTTTCTTAATTAACACATCATATTTACACTTCAATTA